CCCTGGATCCCCTCTCCCCCCCCCCCTCCTCATCTTCGCCCACGTCCTCTCCACCCGCGCTGTCGATGCCGCCCTCGTCGCCCCCGCACTGATTGGCGTTCAAGAAGTGGTGCCAATCTTCCCGGCGCCCCCCATGCTTGCTGAGACCTTTTTTATTTCTTAATCATTCTTTTTTTAGCAAACTTGTAACGTCGATTTTGCAAGGTTCGGGTTTTATGTTCTTTTTTTAACTTCAAGTCAAGACATTTTATATTATATATTTTTTACTATCAAGGCCAAATCGATATCGTATGTCCTTGCGACGCTCGAAGCATATTTAATTTAAGATTCATAACAATTTCGTTGGGGTACTTTTTTTTCTATTGTTGTTAAGCAACGAAGGTGTAACAATAAAGAAAAAAGCTGTATGATGCAAGGCACTTCCTGTCTACTTTCTACCATCAACAGACTCGGCAAACCTTGCCTTCCCCACCACCACCGACTCGAAACACAAACACGACCGATGGAAGACATGGGCAACTACTCACCCGCACTGGTGTACACACAGGTCAACGAGGACCCTCACGACCAGATGGCTGTGGGTCAGCGCGCGCCTCAACCGCCGCCTTGCTCTGACTGTACCAGGTGCGGCTGCGACGAGTGCGTCACCTCCCGCCAGGAGGACTCGCTCCGGCACTCGAGATCCAGGATCAACGCCTACCGCGCCCTCGCCTCCCCCTCCCTCATCGCCCTCTCCTCCAAGGACCCCATCCTCACGGCCTTCGAGCTGTCGTGGGAGCTGCGGAGGCTGTCCTTCCTCGAGCACGAGTTCAAGACCGAGTACCAGGTAAGCCGCCGCCGTCGAACGGCTAGTGTTGTCCGGCGTGGCCTTGGCGAGGCGACCAGAGCCCCGGCATTCCCCGCCTCAATTCGGATGTCCACTTTGAGACAAGACGACTCCACCTGCCACATCTCGTTTGATCTGCTGGATCGCGTGCTGGAGTGCGTCTCGTCGCTCAGGCCAGGCCGTCTGATTTTGTTGTTGTTTGTCTCTGAGCCCTCCTCGACTCTTTGCAGGAGCTGCGCAAGCAGTGCCAGGACTTCGCGACGGCGCTGCTCGACCACACGCGCTCCTCGTACGAGCTCGAGGTGCTGCTCAACCACGACCCCACCGGCCCCGCCTTCGAGCACGGCGAGCGCATGCACCTCAACCGCCTCAAGCTCGCCATCAAGCTCCGCCAGAAAAAGGTAAAGGCCCAGCCGCACCGCGGCGGCGGCCCCGGCAGCCCGGATGGAGCTCCCCTCAATCACACACCCTCCCCTTCTCTCTCTCTCTCTCTTTTACCGACATCGCGGGGCTTCCAATTTTGGGGGCGATTCCCGATATGAACAGGAATAATAGAAAGGGATGAAATCGGGGCGCCGCTGTGTGCCAGAGCCCCGCCCCGCCCTGCCACGCCTGCAGCCCTTTCATGGCAAGCTCGTAGGGGGAGAGCTGGGCTGCTGGGCGCCGCGTAATGAAAGTCGCCGACGTCCGCACGCGGGGCCGCCGCCGTCTCCTCATCGTCGTCGTCCTCCCCTCCATCCTCCTCCTCATCGTCCTCCTCACCTCCATCCTCCTGATCGTCGTCGTCGTCCTCCCCTCCATCCTCCTGCTCGTCGTCGTCCTCCTCCCCTCCCCTCTATCC